CTTATTATAATTTCTTCTTCTTTCTTTAGAAATTAGGGAATATGAATTAATGAAAAGAGTTATCAATAAAAAAATTAATTAAAAATAATAAGTATAATATTTAAAACTAATAATAAAAAATAAAATGAGTCAACTCATCAACTTATGAGAGTTGATCGTAACCTGACTCGTGATTCATACGGATTGATAATACAGGTTATCTACAAGATGGGGTTTTAAATATGTAAACCCTCACCTACTTTTTACGGATCGGATTAAAGTCAAATTAACGGCTCGGGCGGAGTTTTGCCAGGTCTGCTTCCTCTTTGTTTGTAATCGCCGATGACCCGAGAAACAGGCGGCGGGTGACCGCAAAATTAGCAAAAAGGGTACATTTTCGGGCCGGATCCATGAACGGTTGCAGTTGAGGTAAAAAAGTTCATCTAACACATTGTGTAAAAAAGTTTCCTTTTCACCATCAGGTCAAGAATCATTACATTTAAATTGCAATTTAGTTCTCCACATTTTACTAATTTCAGTTCGGAATATTTCAATTTGATTTTTTTTTTCTTTTTTCATTATCAACTTTCTCATCAACCCCATTAATGCCTATCTGAAGGATGTGATCGACCGGCGCCTGTTACCTCCGAGTGCTGACGGTCTAGCGTTTGGAAGAATTGTTTGGATAATCATTTCCTGTTTCATCCAAATTGCAGGTATGTATGTGTTATACCCTAAAAGTAAGTCCTATAATAATTAGGACACCTGTAGACAATCTAGAGACAATCCTATCAATATAAGGATAGAATAAATCCTGATAGAATAAGAATACGTAAACACCAATTAAATAAAATCGTATTCCTAGAATAACTGTATCTAAGCATCCTATAAATACCTCTAGGATCAACCTAAGGAGGTAGATTATTTTTCATCATCATTCTCCCTCTATTGTAAACACTCTCTATCAATAAAGATCTTGGTCTCACACCATCTACTCTATTTTTACGGTTAACAGTATGTATGTTCTGTCTTAAGATTTCCTTACATAATTGTTATACAAAATCTTGATTATTAGTCTCTCTATTATGAATGATTGATTCAGATTTAGC